GTATTTCACCCTGAACTGATTTTTATAATGGATTATTTGAGGCAGAATATTCAGGAAAGGAAGGATTTTAAAAGGTGATTCATAAATTTATTAAATCCCGCCCAAGGACAAAAACGAAAAATGCTGAAGGTTAAGAATAACATATAATAAGCTATAACCTTATAATGTTAGGATACCATCAAACACGTAGGTGTAAAATGAGGCGAGGCTGACAAGTTAGATAAAGAAACCTACATTACTAATTATAAATATTAATATGAAATAAAAACTATTCAAAATATTTGTAGGAGCCATGATTTTATGGATATCATTACACAAATGTTAAAACACTCAATTAAAACTATTAGACTGTATTGCTCATATTGACCAGATCAAATATGAAATACTTATATTTTTTATAAGGTTATTAATATATTTAAAGACTAAATATAATTGAACAATACTTGCAATACTACAGTATCAGTAATATTGTTCATCAGAAATTCATGACATGTGAATGAACTTCTAAGCCTGGTTCTCACGAGGGCCCTTGTATCAGGATCGGGAGCTAACCGTTCGCGCTAACCGTTAGCGGTATCCGGATACACTAACGGTTAGCAAGCGCTATCGGTTAGCAAGTTGAGGGCGTTTCTATCATCAACCAATCACACGTACGCGTTTACAATTTCCAGTTTCTTATTGGCCAGTGATTCGATCATCATATTGTTGGTATCCGGATCGAGATTTTCTCGCACGGACGCACGGCAGCTAACGGTTAGCAGGATCAGGATCCTGCTAACCATTAGCTGCTGTGTGAGAACATAGCCGTTATTAACTTCAATTTTAATAACGTTTTATGTGCAAGGACTTTTATTAAATTCTTTTTAAACTCTATTTATATGATCTTTTTATAATTTTTTAAATTGGTTTATATGTTTCTATGTAATGTATTTCATACATCGAAAACCATGTTGTACACACTATCAAATAAAATATGTTGTATCTCGTACTAAATTTAAAATCACTGCAGAAATCCTGCGAGCCACCCAGCTTTATTAACCACCTTGCTCATCCTTAAAATCCACCAATGCTATAATACACTTTTCTTAAAATGTCTACCACCCATCCTTAGTTTTTTCTACAGCTACAAGAGTCTGTCAGCTAAGATAAAAGTCAATATGAAAATTAGAAACAATAATATTATTATTATTTATATTCGATAATTGGAGAGGAATGTAGTTTCATACAATAATTCTAAATACATGGTTAAGGGAGAGAAGTGTGGCAAGCTTTTACCTTTTGCAGTGTTGGTAGACTGCGATGGTGAAATGTCTTTGGGTGACTCAGCATCTTTACTGAGGACAGGGGATCCTGGCGATCTCTCCAGCAACTAAATGAAAAAAAGAATGGCAACATTCTCAAAAAACTTGTGAATTGAATTTTCAGGTACAATTACACAACATTACTAAATTACTATACAACAGATATGAAATCATGTGGCATAGTTGAAAAGCCTTAGTTTTCCAGTCCAACTGATCAGTGTTCGAGTCCACCACCAAGGGAAATAGTCCTGTTTGAGAACTAAAAAGGTATTTGAGTATTCTTTTATGTACTAAATGCAAAAATAGAGATAAATAGAGTTGTTGAGTTTTGTTTTGATATTGTTGGATAGAGACATAAGTTAGCAAAATACAGAAAAACAAAATATTTACTCAAGCCGGGAACTCACTGCATGCGACGGTCGTCGGCCGATGCATTTCTACGAAGAATATAAAGCCTCAACGTGTGCGCAATGGATCTTTTTTAATGACGAACCGTTCGGACTGCCACTGACAATCAGCGGTCTAAGGCTTACAGGGAGCAGGTTGTCAAACGCTCACAGAGAGCAAAGGTGGATTTGTCTGCCATACGACTGTTGTACAACACAGTGAGTGTAGAGGGGTAAGAATGTATCAGTGTGTAGAGTGGGACCCACTTTTGAGTTATGTTACAGCAAATATACTTAAAGTATTACTTTTATGTCATATTTATTTTTGTCATTTTATCAAGTGGAAACACATAAAATGAATAAATGAAATAAAATAAAGAAGGAAGTTAGTACTTTCATCACTCATTTTAAAAATACTACATATAGTTGTAGTTAAGATGACTTATCTAAAATCTACCTGAAAACAAGAATGTTAGAAAAATACAAACCAGCTGTTCCACATTTTCATAACCTAATCATCAAATTGAATCTAGCAGATAATAGGGAAAAAACCTAATAAGGATACTTAATTTTGATTGGCTAATTGCAATTGGCATAAACTGATTGGTTTAATTCTTGGCAGGTGAGATTTATTCAGCTTCAGCAGCATTTGAACTTGTTTGACAATTGCCAAATCCAAACGGTGGAACGTTGATGAGTTTATTGGCAGTGACACAAGATTTGACACCATTGGTTTGACAATCAAGAAATCCACACATGGACACTTATTAGCTTACGATTGGCAGTGACACCAACGAGTTTGACAATTGGCAAATCCAATGAGGCATCCTGATGAACCTATAATTGCTAGTGACCTAAGGTTTGAAGAATTGTGCATCAATGTGTCACTGTCAACATTAGGCTGATCAGTGGGCCCCATTGACATTCTTTAATTGCCAAACAATAGACCGAATCGGAGGCTCGAGTCACGTGACTTATAGTGGGTATTAGGGTTTGTTTACATCTATCGAGATCGTGAGACGACAGCGCATTAAATATGGCTTCGCCTTGTTGTTGATGTATTCGTTGCAAGAGTATTATTTTACAGTTATTTTAAATCCAAAATTAAATCATAGGATGTTTGAAGTTACTGCCAAGGATAATGATCATCATATGACAATTATTATTACATACTGGCATTAGGATGCACCATAACAACCATGCCTATAATTATCACCAGCCTGTGTCACAAGTTTGGTTGAGCAATCAGTACTGTTAAGGGTTATTTTCTATTTTATTACCTACAGTACTCGACTAAATAAATATATAGTCAAGGCATAGCAACTCCCTCCCTGCTCCGAGCCCTGGTCAAGGCTTAACACTCACATTGCAGCCTAGGCCTATGTACAGAGATTGCCATAGTAATTATAAATCACTATTTAAAAAAAACATAGGCCTACTGCTTTACTTTACTTTGGGTCGCTGTCTAAAAAACATAACTCTCTCAATATACTGTGTTCAATGAGCGCATTGCGGTTTACGATGTGGATGTTTATATTTAGTGCCCACTATATGTCACGTGACCAGCAATAGCTGGAGTCGCCGATTCGGTCTATTGGTGTCAAATCTTGTGTCACTGCCCACCATAAGTTCATCATCATCATTTCATTGGGATTCTGCAATTCATTGATTGTCAAACCATTGATATAAAATGTTGCATCACTGCCAAGTGCCAACCATAAGCTCATTAGTCTTCTCGGATAAGGACTATAAACCGTAGGCCCAGCGTATAGAATGGCTCGTGTGTACTATAAAGAACCTAGTACATCCTTCGAGACGAGTAGGGGATACCCCGGTGTACTGGAACAGACAGCCCCAGTGGTGGGTTACCGGGTAGCACAGACACAAAGGGGCCCTTAGGGGTGAAGAAAGTCATTGACCAAGTTCCTAGTCCACATATCAAGCGCCCTGAGCATCTTACATTAAATGGATATGTGGGCTATATAAAAATACACTATTATTATTATTATTATCATTCCATTTTTTGATTGTCAAACCATTGGTAGTATCAAATTCGTGCCACTGCCAGCTATAAATTCATCATCGTCTTTTCATCGTTGTCCATTCCAACAGAGGAACACTAGTTTGACGATTAAAAAATTATGAAATCAGATGTAGAAATAGTAATGCTTTTAACGATGCTCTAAAATATTATACATTTATTCTTCAATACGACACATAACAAGTGATTTAAAACAGCTGAGGGCTCAGCGCTCTATGTAATTGAGGTGAAAATTAACAAAATTATGATTAAGAAAAGCTCTAAGTTAAGATAAAACAATTGTATGGTCCATAGTACAATTGTCACTACAAACTGATTGAACAGACAGGCAGAAAAGTAGTGAACATGACAAATTTAATCTAGCTAATGGCAGTGAGTGATGTTCTTCACACTTCGTGGATCAAACAACTTAGCGAATACAATTCCTTGGCACACGTGAAGGAAAAATACATTTACTAAAAATAGTAAGTAGATTTTCTATCAATGAGCACACTTCCTGTCTTCTCTGCTTGTTCGTCATGGTGAAGGATTTGCCGCTTACATGTAAAGACCGCGATCTTTACAATATTTGAAATCCTTGACCCGGGGACTAAATCATTAAATTAAATCATACCATAGAAGCCCTACCATTTGTATGTAGCGTTGAAGCTCCTGTTGTTTCTGGGTGTGTTTCTGAAACTTGTCCGTCAGTGTGTTATAAGTATCCCTTTCTATCCTGCAAAAATCCAACAAAAAAAAAAGCATTTCTTAAGGATAACAGCTTCCAATGTTGTGGCATAAGAAATACTGAGTTATAAGATTCCTGTTATATTATTCTTACCGAAATTAGACTATAATTTATGTTTTAAAAGGTAATTTTGGAGCAATAATTGTAATATCTATTGATATTTTTAAAATTTTTTCCTGAAGGATTAATAAAGTTTGACCGTGACTTTGGAGCAACTATTCCTTGATCAGAAACTAGTCAGTGGCATTCTTTTAATAAATAAAACACGTTAAACCTGGCATGAATTTTCTTCCTTTAAGACCCATCACAGATTACTTGAGAAATAGATATAGCTGATTAAACAAATGGTATGTCTTTGTATGACTACAGTGGCATATCTGGGAGTCTTGAAATGGGGGGAGGGGGAAGCAAAGGTGGCGCTCGATTATTAAATGAGGGGAGTGAGGTAAGGTGATATGAGGTAGTTATTGGGAAGCAACCCTTTTTGGGGAGAGGGTGTATAAGAGACAGGTAGGGGATACCCCGGTGTACTGGAACAATATGCCACTGCATGACTGCTTAATTTGGATTATTTCAATGTTTCATGATAAATTTTTGAGAACAACATCGATCCTGTAACAATCAGTCCCATAGACTTTTATTGTTGTTGTAAAGCATAAAAAATAAACGTATGACTTACACGGTTGATTCCAGGGGGCCTACTGACAGATCTGTGAGGCTTTCTTCCTTCTCGGGAATTCGGTCTACTGTTTCATGTTCTTGTTCACTAACTGAAAAAATAGAATTGTGGGAAAAAAGTCAAAACCAAATAATAATACAAGTACTATAGATTAACAATTAATTAAATACTTTTATATTTGTATAGTAATAAAAGTATTTAATTAACAATTAATTAAATACTTTTATTACTACACAAATATAAAAGCTTTAAAGAAATTGAAACAAGTTTCATACATAGGTAATTCTTTTTTATCTTTCTTCTATTTTAATGTTTTTTGATATTTTGTGTTGTTTTTCATGGGATTTTAATGTTGTATTCATATTGAGCCCTCTGGAAGAACAGTAACATTTTACTGAAGAGGTAACGTAATATAAAGAACAAATTAATAAATAATAAATAATACGTAATCTTAATTTGTTATTATTAATATTCTCTTTATCAATACAGAATGAGACGTAAATAGTACAGTACAGTAATAACCAAGTTTTCACTTACCAAAACTACTTGTTTGCTGATCATCATACTGAGGATGCAGGGGTTTGAATGAGGAATTCTCGGACAAGGCAGGCTGGGTTGATGACACCGTACTAGGGTAGCTTAACTGCATGGGCTTGAATGAGGAAGTCTCGGACAGGACAGGTTGGCTTACCGACACTCTACTAGAGTGACTTGACTGCAGAGGCTTGAACGAGGATGTCTCGGACAGGGCAGGATAGGTTACTGACTGCCTACTAGGGTAGTTTGACGACATCTCCATCCTAGATTTATCCTGTGTGATGCGCACATCAGGGAGTTCTTGCACGTACCCATGAGGGTGATGATGATGTGTTGTCGCATTGGTAACACCCCCTGCCGAAGATGTGTAAATACCTGACATCTGATTGGTCAGCTTGACAGCGGGTGATGATGAGGCCAAAGGATATGATTGTTTTGGTGGAGTCCATGCTAAATTGCTGGTACCCGACCTTGAAACTATAAATAAATTAATATGGATGCAAATATGGAGTAATTTCCCTATTAGAAAACTGTGTTATTTTAAGAAACAATTCATTCTCATGCCTTCTAGTTATGTATGACATAAAATATTAAACTACATTTTTAAAATATTATAATTAAGATAAACTAACCATTTTTCTGGAATGTATCATAATTTCTTATTTCCTGAAAAAATAAAATACAGATTTATGTACTTCTTTAAACAGATTTATTTTCAATCGATGATATTTGCAGAGTGTGTGGCTGTTCAAGAGGGCCCATATGACATGACCTTTGAGATAGGCATGCGCAATTAGAACTGCAAGAAGGCTTATTGTTTTACTTATTTCTAGGGCATCAGAAATATTTTTTGCTTGCTGTTGGATGTTTTTTAATCATTTTAATACCTTGTGATCATCTGGATTCCTGAGTACCTGGATCCACTGCATCAATTCCTGGCACTGCCTCTGGAACTGCCCAATGATGTCACAATAATGTCCACCCTCCAGCTCAAGTCTTTGCTTCAAAGAGCTCATTTCCATGTTACTGTCATCAAGCCTGGATAAATGAAAACAGGGAAGAAAGGAATAAATGAAAATGTCTAAATAAAATTAACCTTTAATTTGGTGAGGTTCTAGGTTGCAAGAACTAGGGGGAAATGAAGCTTTAAGATGCTTGTTCTTGGTAATCAGTGAGCAGTGAAAAATTATAGTCATTCTTGTAGGTGTGATTAAAAACTATCAAGAATCGCACTCATATTTCATGATTTAAACATCCGATCATTTTTATGTTGTGTTACAGCTTAGTGCAAATTAACATCAATTACAAGAAAACAGGATATATGCAAAATGGCTAAACAATTTGAATGATGTCTTAAGCTCTGTTTAAGTTTTATGTGACAAATAGCTGTGACTTGCTTATGTGTATGGTATGTACTACAGTATAAATCATGGGAAAATCAGAGACACTGTCAGAGGAAACTTGTATGGATGCAGTGGCATATTAAGGGGGAGGGCAGGGTCGCCAGTAGCCCCCTCCCCATTAAAAAAAAATTACCCTCAAGTAGAAAAAAAATCACCTATCACCTTATTTTGCATAGCTAGCTCCCCCTCAATTAATAACCGATATCCCCCACTTCAATTTCGTGCACCCATAAGGGGGCCCCCATTTCAAGACTCCTTGATACACCACTGTATGGTGGTGGTATTTTATAGATGCAGGATGTACTACATGTGTAGTGAAATCTTACTAATGACTTTATCAAAACATAGTCTGAGATTTAAGTAAAGTTCCTGTTTCTTGCAATGAAGACCCTTGTTCAAAAACCAACTAGCATCTGTTTAAAAATTGGTGTCTGATCACTTGGCTACTCAAATAATGGCGATAGCAGCATAGCTCAGTCGCCTAAACTGGTGGTAGCCACTGTGTGTTGCCTGGAGTTAGGTTGGATATGGGACGATTTATCTTTTAAGTGTCAGTACTGGTACTGCACTGTGGTCCCTGGGGCCCAAGAATTAAAATTTCAATTTTGATTTCAAAATAAGGCTAACAGTAAAAATCTAATTTAATTAATTGTAAAAAAATAAATATTATGAAATTAACCTCTGTTGCAGATCTTGCGCAACATTTTTCCATCTCACGGTCATGCTCTGTAACTCCTCATGTGTCTTTGCTTCCATTGCCTCTATCTCCTTCTGATGACCTTCTAATAAATTTTGTACTTGCTGTCGATGAGACTCTTGTACTTTCTTCTGCTCCTGTTGCATTCGAGACTCAAATTCCTTCATTCTGTTTGCGACTGTTTTCTCGACCTCCGTTTGTGCCTCTGTCTCCTTACGGAGTCGGCTAGCTTCAAATTTTGCTGCCTGCATTTCTAACTCTAGTCTCAAATTCTCCTGTAGGAAAATATTCTGTTATTAAACATATGTTATCTTCAATTATTGTCTTTAAATGTATTATAAGTTTATATTATGTATTACTGTGTATTTTAGCATTATTTAAATATTATCTATAATGCTGTTGGTATTTCAACCTTAGAAAAAAAATTCATACAAACCAATGACAATGAAAAGAAGTTGAAATAAAAACAATATTGAGAAAAATAACAATAATGCAGCAAAAATTCATGCAAGCATTCATACTGGATCAAGAGCTCACACAATTTAACACAAAAAATGGCAAATATATTTTAGTATCCAAATTTTTGTTAGATGCTTTAAAACCATTACACCTTTTGAAATTCTTTTTATTCAATCACACAATATTTAATTCATATTAAACACAAGGAAACTGTTAACTTACACTTTACAATTATAATACATCAATGTAGTAATTAATTAGTATAGTAATTAATTAATACAATAATCAATCAATATACAATGTAATTATTTGGTATAGTAATTAATTTTTCCTGCAAGTAAATTACAGACCTTTTCTTGTTCAATATCTTGCAGTTGTTCCTTCAATTCCATCATTTCAGCATGCAACGTCTTGACAAGTTCCTCAGCCTCAGTTGACTTTTCTAGTGCAGCAGCAGAACTTACCTACAAAAATTTGAAGAGATTATACGTTTGAATAACAGCAAACATCAATTAATATTAAGAGCAGTCACTTCATAGTGTACATACCACCGACCTGTGCCTGAATAACCAAACATTATGCAGGCTGGGTATGATAGGCCATATCATTGTTATTTGTATTCAGGCACATCAATTTCTTCAGCATAAACTTAAAAAAATAATTTAATCGTACGTCGCTGCAGCATACCACCATTCTATGCCTGAATACGAGGGCGATAACATTATATTATTTTATGGTCGAAGGTAAAAAACTTAATTTCCATGACCACGACCTTTCTTCAACAAATTTAAGGGTCTCTTTCTTTGATTATTATGTACCATTCCAGTAAATTGTATGATCCATTCCTTGGTTTTTGCATAATCTTGCTAACAGAGAGAGCAGTGAATACATAACCTCCTTTGGAAGAGATAATGATTGGTTACCTTGGATAATAAAGGGAATTCATTATGATAACTGATTTCTGAGTAACTTTTTACTTTTGGACATTTATATCATCCTTTATTATTATTATTATCATTATCATGCAGTTTTTTATTATGTTTAAAGCCATCATGTCGAATATTACCCTCCACAAACTAAAAATTCTCATAGAAAACTATTATCATTATAATTATTTTAAATTACTACTACTAATAATAACAATAATAGTAATAATAATGTTATCAAAATTATAATTTTATTAATATCAATAATCATTTATATTTATTTACCTGTTCTGAAAACTTACAATATTATTTATAATTATTTTAAATTACTATTACTAATAATAATAATAATAATTATAATAATAATAATAATGTTATTAAAATTATAATTTTATTCATATCAATAATTATTTATATTTACTTACCTGTTCTGATTCTAATTCTTTTAAATGTTTCTCACTCAAAAGCTGTAATTCCTTCTGCAATTTAATTTGTATTTCCAATTTCAAATCCCTTTCCTAAGAATGGAGAAAAAAAACATACAAACATCATTTCTGTTCTACTTAGATACAAGCAAGTACAACAAATATAAATTAACCATATTTTAACTGATGTAGGACTATTTCCATGAAATTTCATTGCGAGAATATTTCAATAGCAGGAATTTATACTACACAATTTACATAAATCAGCGATCATTCTTCTGAGAATATTTTTATTCTCAAAAGTGTTTATCAGTGATAAGGGAATGAGGATGTATGCATGTGGTTAGCAATGGCATGTAAGTCCTGAGAAAGATGGTTCTATTATTTTTTTAGAATGTCCTGGTTAAGAGTCTACGGCAATGGTCAGTGCATCCAGTTATTATCCAAGGAATATACTTCACCCCATATTCCTTCTCAGTGGTGCATAAAGAATACAAAAAAATTTGTAACTATGGAATTGATTGTGTGAATAAAGTTGACATCTGTCACAGAAAGAAAAAAAAAATACTATGGGATACAAATTCCAACTGAAATTCAATGTTCATGATCACAAAACTGAACCATAACATTTTTTACAATATCACTGTTCCAAATTTACTAACAATATATTGAAATGTGCACTTGAATGTTAAACTTCCATATTCTAAGCACACCAAACATATCTGTGAGGAAATATATGTATACACAGTACTACCTTTGCAATTCTGTCTTGTAGATCTTTTATCTGTTTATATAAATCTTCTTTCATTTCTTCAGAAGCTTGCCTTTTCTGTTTCTCTTCTTGCACTAACTGTAAACTTTCTTCCCTTTGTTCTTTACATGCCTGAATCTGTAAAAAATACAAATTAATTCAATATACAGTAATACTTTAATCAGCAGTATAATTACTGATTTGAAAATTTGTTTTAACACATGAACACCATCCAACAACAGGGAAGACAACTAGCATTTAGCAAGTTGCACTGACTGATGAAGATACGATGATATCGTTTCAAAACATAAACGTTAAAGTTTTGGTTGACTTTAAACAAATTTTCAAATCAGTATGCATAAATATAAACCAAATTAAGTTATTTGAACAAGCTGTATAAATGCTGTACAAGTTTTGAGTTATGGGACATTCCATTTTCCTTTACAGGGGTGTGAATACTCTTACCTCAGTTTGCTTATCTCTCTCAACTCGAATTGCTCTTTGCTGTTCCTTGCTGAGCTGGTCAACGGCTTGGGCCAAATCCTTCTCAAATGTAGCCAGCAGCTGGGAAGAAAATAAGTGATTATTTATGACTAGAATAGTTTTTTAGGGAATTATCTTGCCATTGGATTTAAACCCAAGACTTACTGCTTTAACTTTTTTATTGTTTTCATTTCCAGTTCATAATGACAACATTTTTGCATTGACCCATACCTCACACTAGTTCATTACATTTGTCAATGCTTTTAAAGCCAAGTTTCAGTGTTAAGATTTTTCCTAGTAATTATTATATTTCTGACAATCTCTGTAGTAATAGAGGTCAACATCAGTTATAGTGAAGAGCAATATTGTTTCTTGAGATGAAGACAAGACAAGACTTGCTGGTACCGGTTTACTGTGTAGCACAGACACAAAGTGACTCTTAGGGCTGAAGAAAATAACTGAATAACGAGCTACTGGTACACACATCCAGTGCCCTGAGCATCTTGTTTGACAAACAATATAGAATATTACTCTCCAGTTTCATAAATGTATGACCCAATTTCCAGGGTAACAACGTAACGAACATATGTCTTGGCATTAATGCGCTAAATAAATATAAAATATATAAATATATAAATATATTAATATTATATATTCAGGTCTGTCCATACTATCAAATTGTCTTTGACAAACAACTGTTGTATGCCCATATATAGTCATGATGTGATGTCATCATGACTATATTTAGGCATGTCCCACATTTTACTCTGGAAAGGGCGTCATTCTCACCTGTTTTTGGCGTTCTTGCATTTTCTCGGCCTCCTCTTTTTCTCCTTTCATTTTTGCAATAATTGCTACTTTTTCTTCTTCATTTTTCTTCCATCCATCTACAACCTTTGCTAAAGTCTAATAGAAAAAGACAATTTGTTAACATTTACAAGCAAAACAAAATAGTTCAATATGTTAATAAATGACTGGTTATATTTTTTTGATATCTGCCTTTTTTAGCTCCTATTCATTAGCTTCCTTTTAATAAACAACATAATTTCATAAAAATATTAAAATGAGAGAAATCACTCATCTCAGCTGTTGACATAGCATAATGTTCCTAAATGTCAATTGTGGTGGGGTATGTGGGTCATTAGGACCTTAGGTGAGTAACTTCCCTATCCCATAATGCATTGTTAGGTTAGGGTAGGGGTATGCAGGTCATTAGGACCTTAGAGGAGTAACTTCCCTCCCCCATGATGCATAGTTTGGTTAGGTTTCTTTGATTATGTTGAGAGAACCATACACATGCGCCAATTAATTTTCTTTCGGTTGAAATAAATTATATCGTAGCATATCGTACTGCTTTTGCTAGACTCACCTTGTCCAGCTGTTGTACCATAATATCCTTCTTTCTATCTGTGGAGACAGCTACAGCAAGTTGCTGCTGTGACTCTAGCAGCTTGGCCTGTAACTCACTTATTTGCTCCTCACAATGCTAAAAGGTGGTCGAAGGAAGGGGTGCCAACAAGGATGGGGAGATAAAAATTGGATTGAAAAAAAGACAAAATTATATAATATTAAAATATATTAATTTGATTTAAATCATAGTAGAAGCAGGATAATTTCTGAAGGAAATTTTTGTAAGATTTAGCAAAGAAGAAAAGTCTTCGGATGCTAAAAACAAATTAATTAGGAATGTATACAGTTATTTTCAGGGATATCTATTATGTTCCGTTGCATTCCTTCATACTCCTAATGTAAATTCCTGCAATTAATAAGATCAGATTTTGCCATTGAACAAAATTAAATTTCTTTGAAAAAAAGAAGATTAAATTAGGAATCTACTCATGCAATATGTTCCCTTGTATAAATTTGCAAAAATGCATGGAATAGATTCCTGTACTGCCAGCACCTGCAGATTGAGATCTGCAGGCGTTTCTACCAGCAGCGATTAGACAGTGGCAAATCAATTAATTTCAGTCCATGATTCAGTTAGTAGTTTTAGCATATTATCTTTTTATTATTCTGTATGGTACTTTTTAATATTTTATCTGTATTTTAAAAATTTTTGCAATTCTAAGAATTAAGACATGTAAGCAATGAGCATTGTAATTTTGTTTTTTCCAGAATGAATAAAGATAACCTTTACCATGATTTAATTCAGATGTTGATTTAAACACTCAGCTGTGATTGTGTTGTGAAATGAAGTGGAGTGGAATTATACTTTATTGGAGTTAAATAGCTTGGTGGTTAAGATGCTTGCTTTCCAATCCCAGGGTCCTGGGTTCAATTCCTGTCACAGTAACAGGCATTTTTCTCATGACCAAAACAACTCCACTCTTTAAGCCTTCTTACGAGACTTGGTCTATGCAAAGCATCATGTATTTATGTTTGCCATGAGAAGGGATTGCCAACTATCTAATAGGATCATGATTAAGTCGCTATTGATAATCCTTGGCCATGTGCATAAAAGAGAAAGAAATCAGAAGAAAATGGTATAACTACTACCAACCTTTCTCCTGTATCGTTCTCCATCTAGGCTATCTCTTAGGATCTGGTTCTCGGTGATTAGGGACGAGTTTGGGACGTATGCATGCCGCTGTTGGAGAGCACCTCGATGGAAGACAACACCACTGTCCAAGGAGCCGGGGGACACATGCGGCTTCATACTAAACGGGAAAAAAAAACTTCTTTAAAGACACTAATATACAGTACTGTATATAAACATATTTTGTAAGAATATTGGGAAAAATATGGACATGCATGTGGTGGGTGTTTTGTGGGTGTATATATAACAGGGTTTGTAGCCTGCCATTGGATGTGGGTATTCATGAAGTCTGTCAGTGGGTATGTTGTGTGTCAGTACTTTTGTGTGGGTATCAATAACAAAGCTTGTAGCCTGTCAATGGATATGCTGTGGGTATTCATGTAGATCATCATTGGGCATGTTGAGCATATTCTGTGGGTATTTTTTTTACATGTAACTGAGTACCTTAACAGTGCTTCAGTTTTCATACTCTCCAGTGATTCATTTTGACGCTCATTGTCATGGAAACCATTGCTAAACTGGTCACTCACAGGGGAGCTAGCACCATGATTAACATTTTCATTTTGGTCTGAAAGAAGAATATGTATAGACATAGCTCATATAAAACAAATTGGTAAAATTCATCAAAGTATTTACTTTATCCTGAGCTTTCTACAATGAAAATTGGATGTGTAAAGCTCTGTCCACTCTACCAAATTTTCTTTGACATAAAACCGTTGTATGCCCATATATAGTAATGATGTGCCTATATATGGTCATGATGTGATGTCATCATGACCATATTTAGGCATGTCACATGTTTTTGTCAAATAAAATTTGATAGCCTGGACAGGGCTTTAGAATGTACTAAATCCTGCAGTTATCATTGCAAAAAAAAAGGCAAACACGCTATTTTTTCATACTTCCTGGAGGGTTTTTTTCATACTTCCTGGAGGGTATACCTAGTCATACTGCGATGAATAACATACAACCTTGTTTAAACAAATCTAGGCAAGGTGGATATGAACCAAGCACCCTGGAATTGGCAGGCAAGCACCTTAACCAACCAAACTACAAGCACTTACAGGTGGTTCTGCTATTGATAGGCGAGATTATGTGATGCAGGCTTTCTCGTATTTCCTCCATCTTTGAAATGTCTTGACTCACTTCATGGATACGGTGATGCTAAAATGAACAAAGAAGTTTGAAATAATGACACGAGAATGACAATAACATGAAATATAAATGTTGTTTGTGGAGCACTAATGTCAAGTAAAAATGTTAAGCAAAGAAACCTAAGCACAGTTCGCCCTCTAATTCGAGACCACCTTTGGAACCCGAAAATTTGGGGTGGTCTTGTGGTTTGGTCTCCACATAGAGGGTTAGCTTAGTGTAATAGTTTAAAGATTGTTATTTGGTTCTTTGAAAAATTGGTGTCGAATTAAAGGTGTCTCGGAATTAGAGGAGTGTCGACTTGGAGGGTGCACTGTACTGTAATAATATTATTTGATTTAAAAATTTATACAATTTTTCTTATGATAGCTACCTCATTCTCTGTAGGCATATCATTGAAACTACTTGTAAATAATTCTTTCTTGGCCTTCTCTTTTGTCCCATATGAATATTCATTTCCTTTGTAGTTGTGATCCTCTGATTTCCTGTTTGAACCACGGATCGATGGAGAAACAGACACACCAGTGTGCCTTGATGGTGTCAGGTTCCTGGAAACATTCCCAGCAACAATAGACTCGGTGACACTTGTCGTGCTCGATGATGCAACATTTCCTGACCTACGTGTAGGAGATTCATGTGGACGTGGATCTGCTGACAGCCGCTGTTCAAGGTTCGCTAGTTTAGTTGAAATTGAGTCAAGGTGCCTATTGCTGTAGGCCAACTGGGCTTGTCGATTGAGTGGCATTATTCCACTCATCATTTCAGTTTCGGACAGGCCATGAGCCATTACGTTCTGTTGAAAAAGGAAGCAAGAATTTATTTACAAAACATCAAGCAACAGTACAGTAAAAAAAATTAACGCTGTGGCTAGAGATACGGTACAGTATCTTAACTTCCATTTGCTAAAGGCATGGTAAATTGCATTATCCAATAAAATGCTTTCATATGACTTGAGAAAGGACAGTACAATCACAGATTCTATACAGTATAAGGCCTAAGTATTTTACCTTTATCCGATATAGCATTTGACCTGACCTAAAGTGAAAGTCTACTACATTACTTTTGAGTTTTTTCTTTTCTTTTTTTAAAATAATATCACATCATTTAAAAGAGTCAATGTAATTCCTTGCATCTCATTTTCATACATTGCTATAGGCATGACCTATTGTTTCTATTATAACCACACATGTGAATATGAATGTGACTTTGTGAAATTAATCAAAATTGAATACTCCATTAATTATAAAACTAATAATTACAGATTTATGAATAAAAATATTTCGTAAAATTTTAGGTTTAGTATCTTCTTTATTGTTTTGTATTTTTCTTTTTTGTATTCTGGGTGCACAATAATATGATGGGTGGCATTGATTCAAAAGTGAACCCATTCACAACAGTTACTTCAAATGTTACTTCACCAACTTCCTCTGCATTCAGTGAGCGATATCACAAGTCTTCATGAACAATGACGTTACACCACTGGTGGCGGCATTTTATTGGATGATGCAGTTTACCATACCTTTCAGTAACGGAAGATAAAATACGGTACCGACACAGCAAAAAATAAATACAGTAGGCCTAGGTCTAATAAGCTTAAAAAGAAAAGTTTGTGGACAGTAAAAAGTAGAAAGTAGGTTAAATCACACCTGGCCAATTAAAATTTAGCCTAGGCCCTAGGCCTTGGGCCAGTATGTAGGCACCATTGGATTAGGCCTAGGCCATTAACTGTTACACATTACTAGGCCTAGAGTACAGGCCAGACATGCCCTAGGGCTAGGCCCAATCTATAGCAGCAGCGGCAAACAAGGCAAGTTAACCTGTCTTGACTTGTTGTGCAGCATACCCTAGGCTCTTAGTTACGGGCTTAGCTTAGACTAGTTTTTAAGATTAAAAACAAAAACCCGTATACACCTTTCGATTAATTATTACCACGAAAATGTAAGTTACCTGAATGTAGACACTAAATACTTTATATGATAAGTATTTAAGCACTTTCTAGTCAATAAAAACCATAACAAAAACTTCCAACAATGTCAACCGGATGGTTTTTGAAAACGCCTCCAGGAAGAGCGCCCTCTGTAGATGACGAGGAAAACTTTTGAGACGTTTTCACATCCAAAATTTTGAGACTGATATAGCCTATAGTATAGGCCTAGGTAGAGGTTGGTGGGCCTAGCTTTCATAAGCATTTATAATTTTAAATAAATATTCACTTATTATTATCGCAAAAGTCAACTGGTCTTAGAGAAATAGCCAATAATTTTGCAAATTCTGGCCTTGCCTTTTTGAATGTTGTCAGAATGATTCGACGGTATTTATTTTAGCTAGGCTGGCTAGCTAGGCTAGGCCTAGGCTAGCTAGCCTAGCTAAGCCTAGGCCTAGGCCTAGCTAGGCATAGCCCGGCGGTTACTCCTGTCTCTGCAAGCAAGAGGCGTAGCTTAGCTGTAAGGCATCATTATTATTAGGAGGAAGAGTCTAGCTAGGTAGGCCTAGAAGCTTATGCCCATAAGGTTGCTCACTGAACTGTGGTGGTGTAATTCCACGTATCGTAAGGTTGGCCAGGGTCCAGGACTAGGTAAATCGACGCAAGTCAAACTTATGGCGAGCTCAAGAAATGAGTAACAAATAGGCCTGCTGGGCTCTGGGTCTTGGACTTAACTGGTAGTCTTAACTCCTCGAATAAAGCCGGCTTTATCACGGTCTTACTAAAGTCATTCCTCTAAAGACCATTGCTATAAAACAGTCTTCCCTAAGACCGCTTTGAGTATTGAAACGCAAACAAGCACTCCCTGGTAACAGAAGATTTAGGGCGACGTCATGCTTGCTCAACGCACGCAAATGTATCGAAATGAACGTAAATAAACGGCGTAGATCTATTTTTACAGACGCTGAGGAGTGTGCAGAGTATTCGTTGTTTGATTCTCTGACTTTGATGATCTAGGACGTCTTGCCATTGCACTGTTAGATTAATCAGCAGAACGCCATGATGAAAATGATTTAAGACCGTTTTAAGCCTCCTCCGAGTAGGCTTTAAAATTTAAGACGGCTAACTGGTTAGACCACGGTATAGCAATGGTCTATAATCATAGACCAGTAGCGACGTCACGATTATAGCCAGCTAACCGTTAAGACCGTCTAAAGACCGCTTATAGCAATCTGCCCATGTTTTCAGAAAGCCTGCATGGGGATTTTCCGCGCAAACATTTGGCGCAGAATTCCGTTGGAACATTTTATAAAATAAGGGCTACTTTCCTCGCAGATTTTGCCGAAAATTAGGCTTTGACCAAGTCTTAATATAATAACCAATGCAATTATGCAGCAATTACAATTTCACGGACCTATTTTCCGCACAAATTTCAGCTGATTTTTTAGATATCCTCCGCACAATTAAAAAAATTTACAATATGGCTTGTTGGTAATTTACGTTATGTTTACCGGTATGTTCATTTTATTAATTGTTTTTTCATATTTTGTTTTCAACCAGGAGCAGTGTGAAGATTGAACAGTATGACCATATACAACCTTTATATATTTGATCGCAATGGAACATGTTTATGTTACCAGGAATGGATTAGAAGGAAACAATCAGGCATAACAAAAGATGAAGTAATTATTATGTTTTGTCATTTTATTATTTTTTTACAAGAGTATTTCTATATTTATTCAGGTATTAAAGTACAAAGCAGCAGCATTGTGTGTGTACGTTTGTCTTGTGTCGCCTACAAGTAGGACAGTGATATATTTGCTATTGACAATCCTAAATAAATAATAAATATAAATAAAAAAATCTTAACCACTAAGCCACTCTATTTGGAATACCAAAAATATGTTTTATTGTATTTGACAGACTTTAGAAATACATTCATTGGCATTTAATACATATTTGATTATTAGTACTGTATATAATATTTAAATGTTTTTTTTTGTTTTTTTCAGGAATACAAACTGATGTATGGAATGCTATTCTCAATTAAATCTTTTATCAATAGAATTTCTCCAGTTGATACGTATCCTTTTAATGAAAAATTTTGTTAAGAATTTAAAGATTGAATGCAAATTGGGTTATACATTTTAAGTACGAATTAATCATTCATCAAAAATTTGTAGAGCTCCGGAATACAATACAAGCAGTGTTTGATAGCACTGCAACAGTAGCTCAGAGTCATTAGTATGAATTATATATTAAGTACTGACTCATATTAACATTATTGGTAATTGTCTTCACTCATTTTTTACACCTACCTTACTCAGGTCAGCATTGCTGCCTTAGTGGTGCATGGTTGCGGAACCTGAGGTACAGGCCAATGGTGGAAACTAGTGGAGCCCAGCATACACCTTATGTAGGGTATCTGCATACATGGCTACAAAGAGAGAGTGACGCTCACCCAAGTATGGCTCATGTGATATATGGTTAACTATTTTCTGGTTCTTTAACTGGTGTTTACCTTCTTGCAAAGGAGCACCATGAGCGTTGTCCCTTAAACAGATACCGGCACTTTAAAAATTTTCATTATTATTAATATTGTTATTATTATTATTATTATTATTATTATTATTTTCTAGTATGTCTATTATGTCAATGTTGATCCTTAATAATGTAAACCAGTAAAGATGGGTTCCTTAGTTTTAGTACCAACTCATATAAACTTCATTTCTATGAAACACCTAGTGGACTGAGGTTTGTCATCAACACCAGCTTGAATGTTGGCTGTTTAAGAGAGGTGCTTCAACAAATATATAGCAATGTAAGATACCATTTTTATTAATTGCATCACTTATTCAGTGGTGGATTGGAAACAGAGGGTGCCCTACCCAGGGAACAACTTTCACAGATGGAAGGTCTGAACCACTTCAGCCCCACCGTAAGAAAATTTGTGATTATGGTAGATGGCCGTAAATGGCACTCTCAGACTTAAATTTTCTCCATTTAAAAAAAATATATCTATAAACAAACTATTGTGTTGCATTTTGAATAAATTTGTCTAATCTCCATTCAGTAAGATAGCTCCATTCTCATTATCGTAGATATAGTTTTAATAAATTATTTAGTACTGATAAAAAGTTCAAAATATCAAAACTAAATAGCCGATTTTTTTTTCTTTTATTACAGATTTATGTGGAATATGTTGTAAAGAATCCAATGTGTGAATTAGATAAAGCAATTGAGAGTGAAATCTTCCTCAGCAAATTAGACAGTTTTATAAGGAACTTGCCAGCATACTCAGCAAAATAGAGCAACACATCAAAGAGTAATCCTTTAATAGCTGATACTCAGTCAACAGAAATTTACAGATGAGGGTGGATAAAATTAATATATACCATAGTCTTAAAAAAAATCCTCAGTAAAGTCAGCATTTCCATGACAGATGAGCCACACTCAAGACTAGTCCACCATGATTATTAGGGCTAAGATGGACAATTGGGTTATTTCACCTCTAAATGCCCTAAAGTGGCACTCTGAGGCCAAATGTCTCTGGCTTATAAAATGATTAATTTTCCCCGAACCGCCCAAGTTGTGTAACAGTGTGGTCATACAATCATTGCTATGCTGTACAGCATTTCCATTACCTTGCCTTTCCCCCTGTTGTTCAGGCTAAGCATGCGACCTAGGTTTTGTATGTGTATGATGTTTTATCCTTTTTGAATAAAGTTGTTGAAATGAAAAAAAAAAAATTACTTGGGTGGCTATAATTTTTGATTATCAATAGTGATAAAAACAATTTTTATTTTAAATTTCAGATTTAGATTTCTTTAATAACTTTAACTGGCAGTAAAATACTGAATTGCAAGAAGTTTACAGTATATACAGATAAAATTATTATCTTTTATTCAAGGTATATTTATTCATAAAAATGTGTACGCTGTACTTAAAATATGAGAATAATCTATGCTTGAATAATGCACGATATTTTCACCTTCAGTTAGATCTGTTGGCAAATTGCTTTTCAGCAAAAAAAGAAAGGATGATGAATTGTCATTTTGATAAATCCATTAGGGTAAACCTCGTCGTTGAAATGTTCTGCAGACTTGGATAAGGCTTTTCTTGTAACGGTACATAATGGTGAAATCTATTGTTCTTTATTCTTTATTCATTGTATATTGTTTAGATAATACCTGTATGGTAGCTTTTATTTATCATATATCATGCCAACAAGGCAAGCATTTTATATTTCATTCTATTTTAAGAATTAATCAACAAGTGGGTTAAAGCTAATTTAGTTACTCTAAATTAATGAATAAATACGAATTTGATAATACTGTATGTATGTATTGTGAGAAGTGAAATAAAATTTAAATGTGAATATAAACACAAGATAAGTTTCGAATTAATTTTCCATTTTTGTCAAGGTTTTCAAAGAATGTAAAGAGTAGCATATTATATCATTGATTTTCATATATTTTACAGTTATGTTCTTTAGATGGCAACACAGACACATAAACATGTGGCTGAAACTACTGTAGGAAGGTAATAGAAATATAAACAGAACACAAACAAATCTGACAATTATCTTCGCCATTGCACTGGATAGGATTTAAAGATAAAGACACTGAAATTAATTTTAGGTGTATGTATTTTAACCTTCAATAAGATGCTTATCGGCCATGTATTACAATAGCCATTATTACAGTACTGTACAGGTAGTTAGAATTTCTGCCTGAAATGGTAAAAGTTGTAAAGTTTATTAATTTAAACACTTTTCATCGTGAATCTTTCATTGTACAGTATTTATTTACAGTATTACCGAATACTTCAAACCTAATTGATAAATTTCATGTTATTGATCTACTTTTTATTTTTTCTTCTTTCCCTTCTTTTTTCCTCCTGAGCCCTTCTTTCCTTTCTTTCCCTTCTTTTTCTTCTTACTGTAGGGGCCGAGCTGTCTGCGTACCATTACACCCCTCCACCATGATTGTACCTGTTAAAACAAAATTAATAAATTTATATATTGATAACACATCAAAAAGAAGTGTATAGTAAACTGTTTCTATATATGTGTCACCATCTTAACTTTAGATTTCAGGGGCTCAAAATTCATAATATGAATATATTATATAATCTAGTGTAACACAAACTATGAAAAGATACCAAATAATATAAATACATTAACACTATTGGTATTTGAAACAAAAGATAAATATCTACTGTATATATTAGCTATTGAATTGTTGAAATTTGACGGAATACTAACAGCAATAATGGATTTCAACTCCTCCTCTTCTTGTTGTTCTTTCCGTCTCTTTTTCTCTTTCTCAACTCTATCTTCAACCACTACCTTTTCATAGTCTGAATACTGAAACAACACGTAAATGAAATAATTTTAAGGATGCATGGAATACCTTCTTATATCCATGGAGCTTGTCGCTATGCTCCACTCCTGTTGCTAAGATCCCATAAGAAGATAAATGTACGAAAATGCGCATTTGTGGAAAAAGTGCATCATCCTAGCCCTGTTCCCACTGTTCTGTTGGTAAGTTTGATTGACACTCCAGAACTTAGAAGGGTCCATCATGGGGATCCAATCAGTGAAGCTGATTGTAGCTCTGTCCGCACTAGTTATATGTGAAAAATACCTGCGACTTGCTCATAATATGAGCATGGTGAAGTCATATCACACTCATTTTTGTCACATACGACTTGATCTTGTGTAGACAGCTTGTAAAGTGGAGTTTTTTTTTTTTTGTTTTTTTTGAGAGAAACATCCTGACTTTGAACCCAGGACCCAATGAAAGGCAAGCATATCTAAATCATCAACCTCAACTTTATTTAATAAAATCTATGGAGTTGAACACACGGTTCTGGGATTGAAAGGCAAATATGTTAACCACCAAGCCATAGCTGCACTTCATCAGCACTGCATGATTTGAACCCTGGATTGGAAGGCATGAATTTTACCACTAAACCACAGTTCCACTCCATCAACATTGCAGGATTTGAACCCAGGACCTTAGGATGGGATGATCAACATCTTAAACCCCAAGCTAGAGCTCCACTCCATCAACATTGCAGGATTTGAACCCTGACTCTAAGATAGGAAGGCTAGCATTTCTACCACCATAACACAAGTTTGCCATTATCAGACATTTAGGCAAGAAAGGAGCTACACTCACTAATTTAGTAAGTTCCTGTAACCTTGCTAGGTCGTTTGCCTTTGATGCCTTCAGTACGTCCAGCTCATGTGTTTTTGCTTCAACATCTTTGTCATATTTTTCCATCCAGTATTCAACCCTCTGATCCAGTTCCTATTGAAAAAACAAAATAGAATTTATCTCTCATGTATAATGGACTAGTATAATAAGTCCAAGTTTAGAAAGCAGTAAAGGTAGGGTAAATAGAAACAAATAATTAAGGAGCATATGAAGCTATTATTAGGCCTACTGACAAATTCTAAATTTGAAATAGAGGAGGTCCAAAAATGTTTTGATATGTTGTAGAACTGATTTTTCTAAGACAGAAAAAACTGGGGAACGGTGAACGAGATACAGATTTTTGAATATTTAAAAACTGGGGGAAAAAGGAACGTAACCGCCCAATTTTACACTTTTTGGTGAGACAGCAATAACAAACTTACCAGCTGGTGTGTCTTCAGGTACTGTTCTATCTCCTGATTCACTCGAACTTCTTCATCAATCATTTTCTTGTATTGCTTAAAAAAAAAGGTAATATATATTGAGGGTCAATCATGGATGCACAGCTCCTCAAACCTGAAACTACTATGTGGCTAGTAGACCAATATTAAATAAACAAAATAATATTTTACAAATAAACTGTATATATAAATAAAAACAGCTTTGATATTAATTTAGTATGTATCACAGCCAACCACAAAGTGAACATCTCAGGATGTTTACACTCTCAACATGCATTCAATTGATTGAACCCAAAATCTGGTTTATGACCCAGCTTTTCCCAATCCTCACCTCTATCTCTTCCTTCATCTGTTTATCTGAAAGGAAGCATCGTTTCTGTGTCTGCTGAACTGTGACCTCGGCATCCTTCTGTACATACTTGCCCTCCATGTTGGTTTTTGCTTTCATCTCTTGCAGTTGGTCCTTCAAGTGAGCTATCATTTCATCTCGCTGTTGAATTTCGTCCTCACGTTCCGACTTGATGTTGGTTATCTGCCGCTGTAACATCTTAATTCTCTTCCTCCCTTCTTCTTCTCTGTTACAAAAAAAAAAAAATTGTCTTCAAATCACCAGCTTTTATTTTGTTATAATTTATATAGATGGTTGATTACAGTAAAAAGTGAAAAAAAAAACAGACTTAAAAAATGGATATGGTAATCAAAAAACACAAGCACCTCCCTCTCTCATACACAATAAAAAAAAAATGTTTTTATGCTCCTGGAAATCAACAAATTAAATAGCAAAATAATTATATTTACAAACAAATAAAACATGTATTGTTTATAAACAAAACCGAATGATATTTTAATTTTCCTATTTTATTGATAGAGTATAATAATTATAATAAATAGCTTGCCAAAACAATGGATTTTTCATAAAATCTCAGTGGTGGGTTTAATGAGTTTAACATACTTCTTGGTGGAAACATAACCAGCTTAAACATGAATGAAAATACAATAACAGTACATAAATTATAAATACATTTTTAATATATAAAAATTGCCTAAAAATTAGAATCTGTAATAGTTCTTACTTAAGAATAGTATTCTGTAGTTCTGTCTTATTATCCTGCTCGAGCGTAACAGCGTCAACCAGTGATGTAAAGCAACGCTCTTCCTGCATCTCCTGCAGTGTGGCAGTTAAAATATCTTGAACATATTGCCTGCAAGAGAACATGATGAATAGCAATTACAATACTGTGAAGCTTAGTAAGGAACAGTCGAGTTAAACATTTATAAGAAATATGAACTGCTACTGGAATTAAAACCAGTAGCAGTTTATAAGAAATATGAACTGCTACTGGAATTAAAACCAGTAGTAACAATCAGAAAAATGTTGGCAACAGTGGTTCATTTCAATGTAGTTACAATCTTTGCTCAAATGTTTTGGGAGAACCTTAACATATACAGTAATATGTTGTGAAATTTGAATGATGTAGCAACTACAGTATATGTTTTGGGGCCTTTTTTTTAATATCTTAAACTATATTCTTAAATAATGTAAATTTTATTAATCAAATGTAATTGTAAATAATAATTAAAAAAAACCGATATATTGCTTGATATTTTATCTTAATTGTAAAAAGATTGTACATAAATTATTAAATCAGTAGGCCTTTTTCAACAATTTTATTATATTATTGAATTAATATATTTTTCGGTAATTTATATTTGTATATATTATTTACATTGTCTTTATTTTTATTTTCTTCGTCTTGTACAATTCTGTATTACTTATATGTTAACTTCAATTTCATATTTTATACAAATAGCAATAAAGTTGATCGCATTCATACTGTATTGTACAGCCAAAAAGTAAATAATACTTTTCCATAAATCAACATAGTTTATACTTCTTCAAAACAACTGATAAATTTGAAATACAGTAGTACTTATGAAGGAATGGATTCTAACCTGTCTTTCTGTGTTTTGGCTAAATTGTCAGATGTCAAAGGGCTCTGTTTCAAGGCTTTGGAAAAGTGATTTGTTTTTAATCGTAGCCCTCCGATGACATCACCAATCTCTTGGTTGTTTTCTTGGGCTCTCAACTGATCTTTCTTCCCACCTTCCCTTAACTCAGCTCTCTTCAGGATCAATTGTTCATAACGAGTCTCAAGATTACGCTGGCTTTCAAGGATGTCCCCAATTTCATCTCCAACAATCTACAGAAAAAAAGTTCAGAACATTACTTCAGTATCCTAATACAAAAGCACAGTCCTATCAATAAAATTCCCATCCACATGTATTCAAGCAGCCCTCTCAATAGAGAGAGAGAGACCGTGGTCACCTCACGATTATCATTATTATCATGAAAAATAATACTTTTTAAACATAGCTGAGTAATCTTAAACAATAATTTCATGTATATTTGAAGTCATACAAAAGAATCTGAATCCCCCACCCCCTACCTATCCTCTACTGCATACTGTGGTAGATGTGGAAAGAAGTCAAAATGAAGCTACTACTAATTGTATACTGTAATGTCCGGTGGGTAGTCACAGACCAAGCCCATATGAATTTCAGCACAATGACGCTGCAAGTTATGGATTATGGATTATTCTCCTAACTTTAAAATATTCGCGTACTCACAAAAATGTTGATAATTGTGAAAGTCTCCTAAAAAAATTAGAAAATTACTTATCTTGATGAAAGTGACCTGTTTTAAAATGTTTTTCTCATAAACCAAGTGTTTTTACATAATCTTACATTACATACACAATCAAGTATAATAATATAAATAATAAAGTATAATAATACATAATAAAGTAAAGTAGTTTTTACATATTAAAGTATTAGACAAACTCTAATAAATTACTTAAATTGTTCAACTTCAAAATGATGACACTCAGGAATAAAGTCTACAATTTACAATAAATTAAAGTCAGTTTAATTGAGTAAATGAGCAAACAAAAACTTAAGTCTGGGTTGGTAAAGAGAGTATAATCAGAATGTCCAATATCAAAATCCACTCCATTATTTTAGAATAAACTAATTCTGAAATAAAGCTATGCCTTCAAAATTAAAAGCGGGGCATTATATTTACTAGAGTAACCAAATATCCCCTATATCATTTAAAATATTTTTCCTAGGGGTAAATAGATTCTTTGGAGTGTACTGACTGACCTCTTTGGCATCTGCTCGGTTCTCTAGGGTTGATGGCATTATCTTTCCAAGAACAGCCAGTTGATCAATAGTGTCTTCAACCACTGTTCCAAGATGGAGTGCATCCAGTTGTGTTAGCAATGCCATGTTTTAGTTGATGCTCTTTTTCTGCTAAATTGCGATAATTTAAGAGAGTTTTTGATACTAATGTAATAAAATGCATATTTTCAATTGTATAAATAATAACAAATACTTATATAGGCCTAGCACCAATTCAAAATTTATTAAAATTGCTGAGGAAATATGAGAAGTTAACATTCCTGTAATAATAAGTTTTTAAATTTCTCTATAAAGAAAGCAATTTAGGTGAATCACGAACTGAAAGCGACAAGTAAAAGGGGCTTGAAAAGAAAATAAGGCACATTTACGATAATTTTTTTTTCTTTTTGCCTTTACGAGATGGAACTGTCAAGAGATTTTTAGATGAAGAACAATTATGGTGAAGAAGAATAGACCTGTGGTAAGGTGATTTATTATTGTAATGTTGTATGTTTGAACTCAACCAAATTGTTAAAAAAGCAAATTCAAAATAAATGTTGAAAATGCCCCTGTAATTTCAATTTTTTGTTACTAATTAGTTGAGCCTTGTCTCCTTAAACATTAGGCCTAGCCCTTATAAGACTAACAGAGCCAAACAGTACAAACAAGGCCTAAGCTAGGCTTAGTACGAATTCGATCCAACTCGGCCACAAGTCAACTCGGCCACAGTCAACTCGGCCATAAGTTAACTCGGCCACAAGTCAACTCGGCCACAAGTTAACTCGGCCACAAGCCAACTCGGCCACAAAAAGTTTGGCTACAGTCAACTTGGCCACAAGTCAACTCGGCCACAAGTCATCTCGGCCACAAATCAACTCGGCCACAAGTCAACTCAGCCACAAGTCATTTACTGGTACTACATTGTACTAATTGTTACTATTATTGCTGTTATTATCGTTGTCATTGTTATTATTATTGTTGTTTTTATTACCGTTAGTTTTAATAATTATTATTAGTTTTAGCATTAACATTATATATTGTTCAAATTTTTGCTGATATTATTATTATTACAGTATCATATAAATAATAAATAATTTTCGATTTTTATTATTATTATTCATATTATTATTATTATTATTTATTAGTATTATAATTTTAATAATAGTAATTTAAAAAGTTGTTGTTATTGGCGTTTTATTAGTATTTTTCTCATATTATTATTATTATTATTATTATTATTGTTGTTGTTGTTGTCACCTTTATTTTCGATATTATTACCCTATTACTAGAAATTGCAAATTGCAAGTGAAGTGCTGCGAAGTACAACTGCA